AGAAAAGCCCCAGACAGGGAGACAAACCTACAATCTGAGGTAAAAACAAAACAAAAAAAAAAAAAAAAACAAAGCTAATAAATGTGTTTTAACAAGAAGATGCTCAAAGTGCGTTTGGTCCCAAACAGAATTTAAGCACAGAAAATTCACATATTCTTCATTTTACTGCTATTTTGACTCACCAACTAATCTCCAGCWGTCACGGCTTAGTGTGATATCAGCCTAACTCATATAAACATGGTATTTTTTTTAAATAACCTATAAACTGAAGCACAACAGCATAATAAAACTCCTGAAATCCTGTCAGGTTCAGTTTTTAGTTTTGGCCACTCCTTGTATTGCATTTGTGCAATCTGACCAGTAGATGGAGCCAAAGACAAATAATTGATTCAACTCAGAACAAAACGGTGCTTCATAAATGTTTGTTGGCCTTATAAAGTCACGTGCATCTTGCATTTCACAGCTGACTCATGTTATTTTGGGAACACAACCTCCGTTTACCATCTTTTTTCTGACATTTTTTTTAATATCAGTTGTGTTGCAAGTTGTCTCCAACACTACATGCTGGCGAGTGATTAAAAAAAAGGAAACTGATATCCATTGCCTCAAAACATTGATCACTCTCACACACACATACACCCCACATACACACACTTTGATTTTATTTTCTCTCTCCAAGATAAAGTACTCCCAGCACTGAGTAGCAGTGGATAAAGATTTAATCTCTTTTCTGATGAATGACCTGCTCCTTTGCTGACAGCAGGTGCTGAGGCAGACTGCACTACATGAGAAACAGAGAAAATGATGGGAGAATTTGTTTCAGTAAATCCTCTGGCTTCCTGTGTTTGTGTCTGTGCGAGGGAGCAGTGGTGCAGAAACTCGTCCCAGTTTAGAAAATCTCCGTTGAGAGGAGTTGTTTGATAACTCGTGCAGATAGTCAGAAAAAAAAAAAAAGATAAAAGTTGTGTCAAACATCTGTGGTTCATATATTTTGTGTGACAGTTCAACGTGAATGTATCATAGGGGGATCAATGGCACAAAACACTGCTTCACAGAAAGGTTTTTGTCTCTATCTGTTCTTATTTGAATCAGAACTACTGAATATGTGTTTTTGCAAAGGCTTGAATTCAGCTTCAAAGGAAGGAAAGAAAGCTTTAAAAAGCAGCAATGTAATGTGTTTTATTTTGAGACATATAGCTATAATCGTGATTGTTTTTATTTCCTTTGCAGTTGTTTGACAGTCACTGTATTATTTCCACTTCTGCTTCTTTTTCCACATTATTTCAGAAGAATTTTAAGTTTTAAATCWGTTTTACTGCTTAAAATAGCTTTTTTCTTTTCAATCATTTTTTTATTTGTAAAATAGCACATGATGAACTTAAGTATTTATATATTGTTGCACAAGTCCCTCCTAGACTGGTGCCCAGTTTATGCYCAGTAAATATGCTCCACTTTCAGACATTTAGGCAGACTTGTAAAGTAACTAAGAGAAATACTTTGTTACTGTACTTAAGAAGGATTTCTGGGTACCTGTACTTTACTTGCGTAATTGTTTTTCAGCCTACTTTTTACGTCTATTCTTACATTTTCACACAATTATCTGTACTTTCTACTCCTTACATTTTTTAAAAAGGCAAGACGCAGAAAGACGTTACTTTTATTTCATTTTTGCTTTTCATTCCAGCTTGTTATTGTAAAAAAAAAAATACTATCCATATAAATTGTGCCTCCTAGATAGAGTGAGTTTAATTGTGGTTGAATGAGAAGTATAAATGTATAAAATTCTGATACTGTATTAGTTTGTACACAAACAAACCAAGTCACACTCCAGCAGGACATAGCAGACATATGTTACCTAGTACAAAGATGCATGTGGTGGCTTATACTGTATATATAATTTAACATCAATTAAACATTATTTTAATACCACATAGTCATTTCTGCATTTTTTGGGGGAGGTCACCACCTAATAAATGTCCTTACAGAAAATCGAACTTGTCATTTTAAATCAATACTTTTACTTTTAATACTCAAGTACAAAAATATCAGATACTTTCTTTTACTCAAGTAATATTCCTAAAGGAGACTAACTTTTACCAAAGTAATTTTTTGGTAAGATACTTGTACTTTTACTCAAGTATCACTTTGTGGTACTTTATACAACAGTGCGTTTAGGTTACACAGTGTTTAAAACCTAAAACAGTGGTCCCCAAACTACGGCCCGTGGGCCGGATTCGGCTCACCTCCCCATTTGGTCCGGCCCCCAGAACAATACCAGAGCGCATTTAGTTTTTTTTCATTCATGTGTATTTATATTTGATTATAAAGTTGGACTTTTGCAATAAAATGTTCCTTAATTATGAACTATTTTCATTATTAACTATTATTAGTAACTATTTCATACATACACACATATAACGTGACCTTCTGTTCCACCTTTCTGCAGTCTGTGCCCCTATCTGGCAACCCCCAGAAAAAAATCCTAAACCCGCCCCTCTCAAAGAGAGAACGGAATAATGGAGAAAAGATTAGGTAAGAGAAAAACTGATTCAGAATGCAGGGCATTTAAGCTTCAGTGGACAAACAATTATTTTTTTGTTCATCTGTCAAGAGGCGGTGGCAGTATTCAAAGAATACAAATCTGCAGCGACACTATGAATCCCGTCACAAAGACAAGTACGATAGCTTGCAAGGCCAAATGTGAGCAAACAAACTCTCAAAGCTAAAAAGTGGACTGTTAGCTCAGCAGAATACATMCTGTGAAGAACCCAGAGAGGCTTATTTGAATGTGCTTTCTGGAAAACAATAMATTTTTACATTTAGGCACTCMTGCAATAGCCACACYTTTTCTGTTACAAACTGACTCCGCCCCCCACCAGAGAAGGGAAAAGTCATGTGGCCYTTACAGGAAAARGTTTGGGGACCCCTGACCTAAAAGCTCTTAGCTAAGCAAAAATAAATGATCATTGTGCAATATTTTCATTGAAAAGCATTTCTCCCTTTTTGATTTCTCAACAACCTTTGAGAGGTTTAAATCACATTAGCACTTGTGACTGTTATTTTTTGATATTATTTCCTTATTTTTAATTACAAATGTAAAGCTATTTTGCGTTTCTTACATTTAGGCTATACTTGTGACAGCTGGAAATGAAATAGGTCAACCATCTATTAACATAAACTATGTTTTCTGGGTTTTATTTTCCAGACTCAAAGTTTCACAATGGTCTAATCAGGTTGTTTTGCTGTAAAAACACTTCCCATTTTGAAGAAGCTTTTCTGCCCTTTTTTGTCAAAAGATGTACTCTCAGTGCTCACACTAAATTGAGCTCATATATTCTGACTTTATGTGGGCATTATTTCTTTCTTTATAGACGCAGCCCTCCGGAGAGCGTCGGTGAAGTCGGAAACTCCATTATCGGGGGCCCCCTGATGAAAACCTCTTAATGGCTCTGCGGTTGGAAATGAGGTCGAGAGAAAGACCCGGCAGTCCAGCTGCACGCGCAGAGCCATAAAGCCTGATGTAGAGGCCTCTCATCGAGCATCTGCAGCCGAGGAAGAATAACTGTACCGATGTCTGCAGACCTGTTGAATTAAAGGGGGCATTAACTGCTGCTTCCTCTGCATTATTGATGGAGAGCTCCATTCCAGAGGCCATAATGTCTGTTTTTTTTTCCTTTTCCCTTGCAATTTTTCCAGCAGACGTCTCGTTGTCTTCAAACACACTTCTGTGGAAAGGAAGCGAGGGTTCAGGCGGAGTGCTCACCCCTTCTTGCAGCTTGATGTTATTTTAAACTGAGCCACCGCCGCCACAATCGATGCGGAGCTGTGAAACCTCCACAGCTTGTGTTGCCCGTGTGAAATGAGAGTAATCACAGGATGACAAGCATTGGATGATGAGTGTTATGCAAGGTGCCACCTACACTAAAAGCACCATCAGAGGCAGGGAGGTTTTCTCTCAGAGGTGCCAAATCACACGACGCCTCGAGCTCAGAGAGCCTCCTCTTGTATGCTGTGACCTCACTGAGGCAAAACCGGAGATTTTTTTATTTGACTTTGATGCCAAAAACTCAAACTGGGATTACCTTGTGAGTCACCTCAGCTGCCACCTACAGCACACTGTGCTGTGGGGCTCCATAACAATTTCTTACTGTAGGTTTTATCTGCTCGAGACACCTTAGCACACTGCTGACCTCATCCTGTCACATATTTAATGAGCAGAGCGGTGTCACAAACCACAGCGTTCGGGGAATGACAAGGGTAAAGCTCCACACAATGCTRGAAAGATTAATGAGGTCATCTTCTCGCTCGGTTTATGTGCGAGACGCACTCAAAGAGGAAGAAAGAAACCTGATGAGTTTAGGAGATGTTTCATATAAATGACACAAAGACAATCAAAAGTAATAGCAGCAGTATTCATGTGAAGCCCTGCTCTGGTCTGCTTATCTGCTTTGAATTTTATAGCCCAGCCTGGTCAGTGATAATGAGCAGGCATTTTTTTCTACTTGGTCAGCAGGGATTGGTGTGCTCCACCCTTTGATACTGCCTGTGTGATGTTGTGTGTGTGTGTGTGTGATGTTGTGTGTGTGTGTTTTCATACGAAGCACTTGGCTCTGGTTTTAAGATGGCAACATTCTCCAAGGGCAGTCCCACTTAAATCCTCCTGAAATCCAAATTCTGCAGGTTGCTTCACAGGTTGAATGTTTGCTCCAAACRTTCCTGAGTTCTGATGAATCAGATGCAACAAACTATTGAAATAATGGAGAAATGATAATGTTTAATATGTACGAGGAACTGTTTTAAAAGGACATTAATGCTCTGTTAAAGCTTAAGTGAGCAGAGGATGAACTGATCTCCAAAAGACTAAAGATAAACTTGATTCTTATAATTTCGTTATTTTGCTTTTATTTATTTTTTGCTTTTATTAACCTTTTTAACACATGTTGCGAAGATTTAATATAAATTTACATTTAAATGTATTTCCTTTTGTTAAAGTGCCTAGCCCTTACTTATTGTGTTGGATAGTGTGCTATTACAGTTTTGTCTACACAAYGAGTTGCTGACTTTATAGAAACCTGGAACATGTTTTGCTCAGACTTCCATCATGACAGCAGATTTTATGGTAAGAAATAATTATTTTTATTATTCTTCAGTATTGGTGTGCTTGCACTACATGTATTTGATTTTTTCCCCCTGCATATCCTGATGCATCTCAGTAATCCAGGTAAAAAATCAAAAAGAAAAAAATTGTGTAGGTCTTCTGGACGGGTTCTTCTCTAATGAAACGTTTCGTCTCTCCTCCAAGAGACTTCTTCATTCTGAGAGTTTCAGGCAAAWTTCAGGCTCTTAAGCCCAGCCTCCATGTGACTGATACTCACATCACATGGCTATTGTTGACACCTAATTAACACCTATTGTTAACAGGGGGTGGAGTGATACTGGCAATAGCTGCGCTGTTGGAGTGGGACAACTGAAAACGGAGGCCTCCACCTCTGTTTAACGATAGACAGTCTTTCTTCACGAAAATGGCTTCTTTTACTCCTCTCTCAAACCAACGTTCCTCTCTATCAAGAAGAGAGAGAGATCATCCTCATCTCTGAAAGAGTGACCGCTGGCCTGTAAATGAGTGAAAACTGCAGAGTTCTGGCCATTAGATGTAGCTCGTCTGTGTTGGGACATTCTTTTGAACAGTGGCTGCTTTGTTTCCCCGATGTATAACTGGTCGCAGTCCTCCTGGCACTTAACAGCATATACAACATTGCTCTGTTTGTGCCGGGGCACCGGATCTTTGGGGTGAACCAGCCTTTGCCGTAATGTTTCTTTTTTCCTGCATAACTCATTTATGGTTTATGAACAGTTAAAGTGCGTAAAGTTGAGCACATTAGGATACAATGGTAATTATTTGAACAACGTGTCTGATGTGATGACAAATGAGTGTTTATTAAATCTCATGATTTTTGGGAAGTTTTTGCAAATAAGTCTGAGCTTTTCTGTTAACTCAGTGAATTGTTTTGAAAAAGGGGAGGGATGCTCTATTATTTTAAGTTTATGCCTAAGCAATCACTAAAAATACAACAAAAAATTGAACATAAATGCCTAGCTAAACCATCCCTGTCTCTTTTATTTATTATACACTTGTGCCTGTGTTTTGCTACTTGAGTGAAAAGTTTGGCTAACGTTGGATTTTTATTTTTATTTTAGTATGTAAAAAAAAACAAAACCCTTATGCTTCATGAAGGCCTGTTATCATGAATGACCGCTGGGGGGCGCTGAAACACCGGCGCAACTTCTCCAGGCTGCTCAGACTGACTGATGCGTCTCTCATCCTTCGGACTCCTCAGATTCTTTTCTCTAACTGCACGACGCTGCAGCCAGAAGCCCAACTGTTCACACTTTGTGAATGGAGGAGTGCAGGAAAATGAAACACAGACTCATTAGTTAAATCCTGAAACTATGAGCTACTGTCCGGAGTGGAGTCCAGCTGCCGCGGAGCTCCGGCGGATGGGAAGTTGCGACTCAGACCCGGAGCAGCATCAACTTTTATAGACTTTAAAGTCGCACCCTGCAAACCCCCCAGTTCAGAGGTGGGTCTGGACTCTGGGATCCGGTGTCTGGAGAGCCTTGATGTCAGACCTCTGCGCTTATGTGTTGTCCAGGGAATCTGGAAGAGACGAGGAGGAAATCTCAATCCCCTGAAGAACAGGTCTCTGCTGTTAATCTGGCAATGGAGCATAAATGAAAGGGACGCTTATCTGGATTAATTGAGAGGAAAAACGGCAGGTAGGTCGGCAATGCAGCTCTTTAACCTCTCAGCTGCGTCTTTCCACTCGTTTTGACAACGAATATATAGAATTCATAATGAGTTTCTAAATCTATAAGACACTAAATAGTCACCTGTCTGAACGTCTCTCTCCTGCTGGCTGATTGATAAAATTATTGATTTTACTGAATCCAGCTGGGAATTGATGACTACATGTGGTTGTGTTCATGTGTAGCAGGTTGGCAAATATTCTACTTTATATTGTCAAAAGGCAGAGAACATATATGTGCAATATGTGTGTGTTCTGCTTAAATTTGACCAAAAAACCTAGTTGATTTTATTACACATCTCTGCACAGAACTGACTCAGTATCTTTCCCACT